CCGAGGATAATTAGGGCTGATTTGTGATAGATGATTAATGAAATACCAAAAATCACTAAGAGACCAAAACTTGCTTCAAAACATCTTTCTGATTTTGATGCTATACATAATTTGTGAAACAATGAACTTTTTAAGATCTTTCATATTAAAAGACTAATTTGAATAAACATAATATTAAATGGTATGTATACTGAAAATAATTTTTTTATAATATCTTTAATAATGTGATTGGTATTAAAGCTAAAACAAAATATATTGTAAAAATATTATTGAATTTGAAGGAGTACTATGAGAGAATTAATTAGAACTTCTGCAAGTAAATTAATAAAGTTTAAAGCTATATATTGTCTTACATTGGAATAATGAAGAACATTGTGTGAAGGAATGCATTCTCTAAAATTTCCTATTAGATATGTGTCAAACTTTAGTCGATGCATTGACTTGTGAATATGAAAGATATTTGGTAGAAAAAGTTATGACCTTCACATTTTCTTACAGTGCTTGTTATTAATTGCATTCAATGCTCTACCAAAATCGATACTTAATGTGTTGATTGAAATCAATACATTTTTAAGCAATTGTGTGAATGGACTCTAAAAGCTGATTCATTGAAAAATCTTTATTTGCGTATTATATTAATATTATGGAAGCTTGAGTAGATATTTCCTCATAATTTATTCAACTCTATGGAGCATTGCTCACACATATTTGCTATGAGACTGTATGTTAGAGTATAGTTCAATATAGATGAATGTATCTCTTTTAGAGGTATGTCCTGTCAATGTTTTATATTTTATATTAGATTGAATTATTACCATAATTTATTATAAAATGCCTCCATGTTGCCCATTTCTAAATAAAATCAAATGAATTGCTAAAAATAAAGCACATCCTGATGACTTAGTATGTGAGACATACTTGTTGCACGAGACAAGTATTTTTTATTTATACTACTTTGAGCAAGGACAATAAACACATCAAACTGCCAGTGATGTGCCTTCACAATTTAAGGTATTTGTACATCACATATCATGAGAACTATAATGATGCATAGTACACGTTATCTCGATGATAAAGAGCTTCGAGCAGTGACATTATATGTTCAACTTAACTACGATGAAGTCTAAATATTTATACAGTAAGATTTTTTGTAATAAAAAATTTTATTGGTTTTTGCTCATATTGGTGTACTAATCACGAGCAGGTTGTTCACTGACAATTTAGAAATATAGATGATTATGTCACAAGCAAAAAAATTGAAGGAGAATTTTCAGCACGGTTCAGATCATACATACTTGAAGTAACTCTTCAATTAACGAGTGCATAATGTAAATTTCATACTTAAAATAAAATTAAATATATTTTACAACTTCTTATTGATTCATAATTAAAATAATAAAGCTACGTAATATTGAGATCTTTCTTGGGTGCTTAATTGTAATGTCACATCATGACAAATATTTGATGTGAAAGATTATAGATTTCACATACATTTTTGGTGTGAAGGGAAGAAAAAATATAATTACGGTGTTTGTGTTATAAGAAAAACTTACTCAGATAGTGAGAGCATTTATTATGACATACTTGCAGATGTAGTAGTTGTAATATCCGGGTTACGTTTCGTGCAATGTATGTACGCTCAACTGTGAGTGGTTTGATAATGTTCATAATAAAATAAACAAAAATACTAAACTCATGTGATAGTACTGAAGTTAAGATGAGCAAAAAATATATATATAATTTGATATATTTATTCTAGAAAAAATAATAATAATAATATATATATATATATATACTTTGATATATTTATCCTACGTTTCGTGCAATGTATGTACGCTCAACTGTGAGTGGTTTGATAATGTTCATAATAAAATAAACAAAAATACTAAACTCATGTGATAGTACTGAAGTTAAGATGAGCAAAAAATATATATATAATTTGATATATTTATTCTAGCAAGCCAAGATATGTTAGATTTATTACCTTTGTTACCCTAGTGGAGTAATAAATAAAATTATTTAGGCAGTCATTTTAAATAATAAATATATAAGAACTATTGAGATATAACTATTATTGAAACCATCCATCAAAAGAATGAATTTCATATTTTTGTATTAAACTTAATTCTATTGAAGAAGCATTTAATATGGAGAATGTCACAAAGACTTATGAAGGGGTTTCTCAAATTATGAATGATTTTGATGATGACATAAATAATAAAAAAATCATGTTCATCATCGAGTAACTTGTCCAATAAAACAAATTTAGAGAGATATGTCCTTTTAGATTTTAGTTTCTTCATGATTTTATCTATTATAGTATTAGCTTTTTATGTTTCACATTGTTTGCCTACTTTTACTTTTGTGCTTTTTATACTTACGACATGTTTTATGTTTTGATTTTGCAATTTCCTTTTTTTAATTTTGTTGCTTATATTATACTTCTTGTTTCTGCTTGTTTTTGTTACTTAATTTTATTAATGACTTATTTTTCTATTACATTTGATTTTTGGTGCTACTGGAGATCTCCCACCTCACCGAACTCTGCATTAGGACCCTTTTGGGAGTACTTATAAAATGATGAAAAAATTACTGTCCCACTTTGCCTCTCATAGTACCAGTGCTGTGCTGATTAGCAATACCACCACCACTGCAACCCCTCTTGCATCTTTTTTATCTAAATTTGCCCAATTTACATGAGTTCAAAATTCAACAAAATAAGATTTTTGAGGCATTCTTATTTCCTCTAAAATTAACATGTATTCTTATTTCTTCATGCAAAACATAAAAAATATCAAAATTCATGTGCACTTTACTTTAAACCACCAGTACACCGATCTAAATTGCCTCATCTCATTCCCCTTTCATCAAACCTTGCTTAATTAAACCTCCATCCTAGAAAATCCTTAGTCATAGAAAACGTGGACCACAAGCAAACTACATTGTTATTCCAAGAAAATTGAGCAATCAAACATGTCAGTTGGTCAATTCAAAATTTATCATCATCGTCATTATATTATTCAAGACATTTGGGTTCACTTTGATTAATCCTCATTTTGTGCTAATTTAAATTGAGTCCTACATAAGCTGCGAAGATTTTTTTTACATAAATTTTTATAAGAACTTCGATCAGTATTATCTTGGGCATATTCATTTTATTCCACTATCGTTCCTTGATTCTATTTATTTATACCACAAATCAATCATATTATTCTTATGTTTTTTGAGAGACTGTTTTGTTCCTTGGAATAGAAAAAATATTTTATTTTAAAAAAGTAGGTTACTTTATTTTAGAAACTCATTTTGTGTGAAATGAAATCATTGCCTTTAGGTTATTTTATAATGTAGAATCATGATTTGTGTATGAATCACACATAGAGAATAGAGTGTAGAGAGAGAGAGGAGTAAATAATAATAAACAATAATCCATGTATTTATTCACAAAATGATATTCTTATTTTTAGAGAATTGTGTATAATATGATGTTGTTACATTTTTGCTCTTCATTAAAAGGAGATTATACTTCATTTTTGATATTTTACATGAATGAGTCAGTTGCTCGGTCGCCTTTTGGCTCGGTTGACTGAGCTTGATCGACTTAAAGTCAGTAAGACCGCTTTGGTAGGCTAGACTTGGTTGGCATTGCCGCTCGATATATCAACTCTGAATATAGACCATTGATGATAGATGAGCAAAGATTTGGATGTCCCAAGTATGATTGAAGATGCTGAAGAATTGAGTATTCCGTGGGATCAACTTATTTGTGGTGTTCGACTTGGATGCCTCTTTATCTTAGTTTTTAGACTCAAATCGTTTGGTTGGCTTTTTATCATTCTTATGGCTTAGTCGGCTTTGGCTTTGTTAGCTACATTCAGTTAAATAAGTTGGTCTCATCTTCATATGTTAATGAGCCCTCCCTCTTAGCACTCTTCTCATCTGGACTGTTAGATCACCTCAATATCACTGCTGACACATTTTTTATGTACAAATATGTTTTTGCACAGCTTAAACCCCTAATTTTTTGTTAATTACATCCAATCAACCAACAAAACATAGTGAATTATGTTTTAATTTGTGTTTTATAACTTCAAGTAAACCAGAACCATTAGACTTTAGACACATAAAAGAGCCACAATATTCCATTCCAAGCTCCAACAAACAATCAAATAAAAACAAAGAAATAAACCAACCAACAAGATCTTCTAATGTTCACCGCACTTCAATAGGTATTATCAGAAAAATATCAAGTTTCATCGAATCCAAATAGCGCAAGATGGAATCACTTATAATGAGAAAGCGGGATGAAATGTTGATGGATCGAAGGCAAGCAACGACAACTCTTATAACACAAGGAGAAGATGCCAAGTCGAGTGAAATCATAGTGGCTCCCCAATGTTAGATCCAACAACGTTTTCGTCCTTCATGATGTGGTGCTTAGACTATAGGGTTTTAAAATTTATATATATATGCAAATTAGATTGATCACAAATGCAGCATCAGGGTTTAAGGAAAATGGATGAAATACACTATGAAAGCAAAGTAATAGCATGCATGATTCCAACCTTCTATTTTTCCACTTTTGGGACAATGAATGACATAAATAAGATGCTAATAACTAATAGAAAGATTTACATACATGCCACTAAATTCCTCTGTATTATCATATCTAACCAATGTTAGATCCAACAACGTTTTGTGTGTGTGTGTATCACCGTATTTATACATTAAAATAATATATTTTATTTTTTAAATGTTAAACTAATGGAATATTCGATGCAATATGAAAGATTTTGTTGGCATAAATGTAAAAAAAAAGGTAAAATTTAGATATTAAATATGTATATATATATATATACAAATTGAGTAGCATGTATGTACATTCTCCTAATTAAATCAAGCTTATAGTTCAGTGCTTTTAATTATAAATGGATTAAATATTGTATTTAAATAAAAATGGCGTCGAATTTAATGCTATGTATGTTATTCTTTCCTTTAATTATTAGCATCAGATTTATTTCATCGTCTCTACAAAAGTGGAAGGAAGGGACCCTGCACCTTCTTGCTTTCCTCTGACGCTCTACTCCAGCTTTCTTCCCGAAACCCTAATGCTGCATTTGTGATCAATCTAATTCTTCAGATACATATAGCCTTTAAATCCCTCTAGTCGAAGTACCCCGCCATGGACGACGGAAAAGCTACCGCATCCAACGTTGCCGGAGCCATCGCCGTTTCACTTGACTCGGCTTCCTCTTCTGATGCCCGGAGAGCCGCTGTTGCTTACCTTGATTCCGTCAGCATCCTCATCAAATTTCTCACTTTATCTGTTTCCATCTCGTGTTCTCTGAATCCGATGAAAATCGCGATTTTTTTCAGTTGCATTCGAAGTGCAGTGACTGTTAGAGGATTTTGTTGGCCCGTTTATTTTTTGGCTATTATTTGACTGTTAATCGGAGTTGGGAATGGATAATAATGGCTTTTTTATGTGTCCGAAGCCCGACGCCTCTGGTTTACCAAATTTAAACACAACGAATTCACTAGGTTTTATTAGTTGATTGGATGTAGTGAGAAAAAAAATTCGTGTTTAAGCTCCACAAAAAAAAAAACTTATAGAATCATTTACATGTGATGATTTCGTTCCACACAATTTGAGCTTCTAAAATGAAGTACACTTCTTTTTTTAAAAAATAAAATACGTTTTCTATTCCAAGGAACAAAACACCACTTTCTCAAGGAACATAAGAATGTTAATATTGATGTGTGGTATAAATAAATAGGATGAAGCAAGAAATGGTTATGTTGGAAGTGTGGCTGGAGCGGAATGTATTGAAATAATTTAATTTAAAGTATAATTGTATTTTTGCCATGTGCAATGAAACATAGAAATACAATTTTGTCATAGACAAAATAGAGTTGAAGGTTAAAGTAGAAAATGAATATGCCCAAGGTAATATTGATCCATGTTTTTATAAAGATTTGTGGAAAATAAGCTTAGAAGCTTATGTAGGACTCAATTGGAATGGTTAGAAAATGAGGATAAAGTGATCCCAATTGGCTAGAATAATACTAATGATGATGATGATAAATTTTGACTTGACCAACTAACACAGTTGATTGCTTTATTTTTTTTGGAACTAGAATGTAGTTTGTTTATGATCCACATTTAGTAGGATTAAGGCTTTTCTAGGATAGAGGTTCAATTATGCAAGGTTTGATGAAGAGGGAATGAGATTGAGGCAATTTGTTTTGGTGTATTAGTGGTGCAAAGTAAAATAAGAGCACAAGATTTTTTGGTTTTTTTGGTGCCTTGCTTGAGGGAAAAAAAAAATGAGGTAAATTTTTAAAGGAATTTAGAGTACCTCAAAGTCCCATTTTGGTGAATTTTGAATTCTTCTAAATTGGGCAAATTCCTAATATGAATAGAGAGAGAGAGAGAGTAGAGATTTATGTTTTTCAAATTCATCCAAACAAAATGAAAGTTGTTTTATTTATTTGATTTAAATTCAACCAGACAACTTAATAAATTCAAAATACTCTTGCATTTCTAAAACACATGAATTTTTGGAACATCGAACCAATGAACTCTTTATTCTATTGACAAATGTATTTTTGTGTTTCTTGTTAATGTTTTGTTTAACATACATTGTCTTAAAAGGAACGCGTGTAGAATAAGCAAGAGGACATTTTTTAATTGGAGATTGCTATTAATTGGAACAAAGATGAAACATTTTTTCATCTTTTAAAGTAGGCATGCTAGAAACAAAGTTTGATTTGGATTTCATACAATATGACATATCAATGATAGTTAGTGCTTAGCAGGGCAAAATCTGCTGTCTCAAACTTGTTTTACTAGTATCTCGTGATCTCTATGTTCTCCATGTTCGGAGAAAAACAATAGTTGTTGCTATGGCATTTTGCAATCCTTCTTCCTACCAAATTAACATTTCATCCAATCCTATGATGGATTGTACAAGGAGTACTTTGAATCATGCGGTCGTCATTGGTGATTTATGATATTTGCCTAGACAATAAATGTCTTTTAAGAGTAATGTTCTAGCATGAAATTGAAAATTATTTATTTTTTGAAGGAAATGCTACACGACTTTGTGATATTATATTTGTACAAAACTTTATAATTGCTTCATGCAGTTATTCTTTGGATTGCAGATTGGAAAGAAAATATTGTTTATTTCCGGTTCGAAACCACAAAATGGCTTTCATGTGCATGGATATACTTTTTTACTTTCTAGTGTATTGTTTAAGTATGGTAACTGTTATCAAACTTGTGAAAACAGCAATTGGAGTGATACTTTTTACACATATCCTAAAAGTTTTTTTTCTTGCATTTATTTGAATAAAGAGAAACCGATCATTTGTTTGCTGGTAACCAAGATGTAACTTTTAGAGAGCCTAAATCATCACATGACATGGCCAGACACCCTAAATTTATGGAGAGGTATCAGAGGAGCTTAATTGATGATCGTGCATTGTAATGTTGCATTGTAATGTTGCAGAGGAATACATTTGATGGACTATGTTAAAATGTGGAACTGACTGTATGTCTCCTTCCTTTCTTTCCATGTGGGAATAAAATTAAATCAACTATTGAAGTTCTTTTCAAATTTATATTCATCATATTTATTATGAAAGCCCCCTACTTTTGTTTATGAACATAAATCTCTGCTTTATAGGCTTTTGATTTCATAATTTCCAATTTCAGTTAATCAGAGCTTTCAACCTCCGTCATTAAGCTCTATTTAAAGCCATTGGTTGGTCAAAACTTGAAATTTTTGCATTTTATTAGTTGTATTGAATAACTTAGTGTGTTGGGCCCCCCATAACCCAACATCTTTATGAAAAGAAATAAATATATGGTGGAAAGCAAGAAAATTCATACTTTTTTCTTTCATGTAGAAGTGTCTCTTAATTCTAAAATTAACATTTCGAACATGATTTGTATGTTCTGCGGACGCATGGAAAGTAGTTGATAAATGAACTATTACTTCTCCTTTTTATGGCCGGAAAATGAAGGTTTTTTGACTCTTTTCATTTTTACAATAAAATATGGAAAATTATATTCATAATGAGTCGAATGAAGATTGACTTAATGATTTTATTTTTCATTCAACTTATTTAAAACTTTAGAAAAACATTTGTAAAAAGAACAATGGGTCAGATCAATTTTAATAATGCTGAATTTCATGATGTGAGAGCTATATGTCTCAAATGCCTATCATCATCATCACAACTTGCTTTATTCTAACTATTTGATGAAGTCATAAATGCTATATGAAATTTAACTTAAATTTTTTATTGACGTGCTTAGTTTTTGAGGTGGCTGATGTACAATATAAGGAATTAATCTAAAATGTTTCTAGATGTTTGGTAGAATGATAAGTGGCAAAGTCTAGTTCGTAATTAGGCTATTTAAAGATTATATTTAACTTTCATATTCCTGCACAAAGTAAATTTTGTGGCGCACTTTTCTTCCCATGTTGTATTTTCAAGAAGCCAAACAGTCTTTCGTTAGTTCTCCCTTTTCAGTACCTTACTTCATCCTATTAGCAATAGAAATTGTATTATTTATTGTCTAATTTCCTTATCTATTTTAATTTTTTTTGTTTTATAGGTAAAGGGTGGTGATATTCGTGTTTTTGCAAACACATCTCTACTTTTGATTCACAAGGATTACTCTTCCGAAATTCGGTTGCATGGCTTCAAAATGTTACAGGTGTTTTTCTTTGCCACAAAAAGTTGTAATTTTCAATATATTAGTCGCCATTGAAATTGATACATCACATATATCGCATTGATGCCGAAATAATAATAATAATAATAATAAATTGTATTTATCTAATGATTTTGAATATTTTCTTGATACAAATGTGGGTTTTTTCACTCTTCTCTTCCTACAGAAATTTCCTAGAGGAAATATTTTTTTTCGTACATGCACCTTACAACTTAACTTTTACTCGTAAGATTACGAATACATCCATATGAAATTTTGGTAAACTGAAAATTCATCTATTTGTGGATCTCCAAGAACTTTTTGTTTTTTCTATCATACTAAGTTTATTAATTACAGTTATTTTCTGATTGAAAAGCTCGTTGCTAGATCATCTTATTAAAAGAAGAAATAATCTATTTGCACATCAGACATATGCCTGAAATTCAACTAGAAAATAGAATAAAAAAAGATGACCAATGGCAATCCTAAAGGCTAACTTGACAATGTTGGCGTTTCATCATTATGGACAACATGCCAAGCCATGGGCCTCCTTGACATCGGAGGAAGCCCAAACCAGCTTGAAATGCACAATTATTATTATGAAATTGAAACATATACAAATGAGATTCTTGCGAACATGAAATAAACACTAATAAACATGCAAACAAAAATGGACAAGACGACACTGATAGAAAGCAACACTAAATACATAAACGGTCATCTAGGAAACAGAGACAAGGGTGGTGGTTGGAAAAGGGCCATCGACTGTTGGAGGGTGGTAGGAGGGAGCTGCAGTGGCTTAGGGTAGCAACAGACTGATGGTGGGGTCTGGACGGTAGGGCTAGACAACAATGGGGATAGGTGCCGGGGCTGGACAGTAGCTGCGACAAGCGCTGGTGGCTGTACAGTAGCAGGGACAGTTTTGGGAGGGGCTGTTGGCGGCAGGGGCTGGTCGGGGAGGGCCTTGGTGGGCTGTTGGAGGGTGCAGGGACAATTGCGGAAAGCGCCAAATAACAATGAGGAAGGTGTCGGTGGGGCTGGCGCCAACAGGATAGCGGCGTGGAGACGTTGAATTGTAGCAGGGAAGGTGTCGGTGGGGCTAAGGGCAGCAGGACTGCTGTTGAATGAAGAGGGAGGGTTGGAGGGTAGCAGGAAGAAGACTGGAGGGCGATGTGTGGCTGCTGGAATAGGGACCGGAGGGGCTGCAGAATGATAAATATCTTGTTGGGGTCAAGCTATAGTCGGAGCACCGCCTGGACCGTTGGAGACAGTCACTACCTCAGACGAGTTACAGTCCGAGCGCCTTCTCGTTATTGGATACAACCCCCAGAGTGGAAGAACCCCTCAAAGGCAGCACTTAGAAATTTGTACTCATCAAAATCCGCCCTAACTTTAGCAAAAAAACATGTATACATAAGAGGGGGTTAGTAGATAAATTAGATAAGTAGAAGAATAGACAATAAATAATGGAGGGGTGATGGGAATGGAAGAAATTTGAAATTGGGATAGAAGTGAAAGGTGGTAGATGGGTAGGGAATCAATATATGTAAGGGGGACCCGTGGTTATTGTAGCAGCTACAATAAAGTGTCCGTGGTACTGTAGCTGCTACAGTATCACGTCCCAATTTTAGCTCCTGCGTCACTCCCTCTAAGAGGGGCGTAATTGTCTCTCGGATTTTCAGAAAAGTTAATTTATGCAAGCTGTAGAGTGTAGAATATCTTCCTTATTCTCAATATAATTAAAGTTCTTGTAGGAAGAAGTTTTCGCGAGTAACCTAGAATCCTCTTGTATAATTAAAAATGCATGACCCAAAATGTTATACACACAAAAATCAGATAATTTCTCCTCTTTTCTTGGTTAAAAAAAAATCTAGGTACAAAGGAATCTTAAGCATCGTTTGTGATTTTTTCCCTACAATAAGCCCAATAAAATCTCTCCGGTGTCTTTGGCCCTACTTTTCCATTGCCTCCATCTGCTATTACGACACCTATTGTCATCCAGCTTCATCAGAAGCTCCATTGCAAGGATAACTGCTCCTCACCACCAATTTTCAAAAAAGAATTTCTTCTTTTCTTTTTAAACTAAATGTTTTCTATATTAGAAGCTGTTGACCAATCAAATGGTCATATTCAAATCTTAGTAAGCATCAAAATCTTCATTCTGCATTCAAGTTGATTGAAATAAATTATTTTGTTTTGTCCTAGATTGTGAAAAATCTTATTAGAGGAAGGGAAACTTTGGCCGCCTTATTAGCCTTACATTGAGTGAAGATTTTGATTTTGCTATATGGTTGTAGAAGCTTCTCAAATTTTGTTTTTGCTATGGATATTGTTGACACTGGAAGGCAATGGGCCATACATGCTATTATAATAAAGGATATTTGGGATGTTGAAGTTTCTTAAATTATTTTCAGAAGTGCATGATGCGTTGTAGTCACTGAGATTTAGGGAAAAAATACAATGTCAAGGTACTCTTTTAGTCGTCAAATATTGTGACAAAAAGAAAAAAAAAATTGTTTGAACTCAAGTGTTATCAGTGTATCAAAATGAGATGCAATGAATATGTTGCAATGTTACAAGCTTTTGTAGTAGAAAAAATTTATGAATTCCTAGCTGGACTAAATGCTGAATATGACCAGGTTTCCATGTAAATATTTGAAAAAGTCTTCTTTTTCTTCTTAAATGAAGTCTTTTATACCATTAAAATTGAAGAAGGGAGATGCGTTATGTTAGAAATACCACTTTTTGGTGAGAATGCTGCCCTAATTATTGTCTTTACACCAAATACAAGCAAAATTGAGCCAAACAAGTGAAAAAATGGCCCCACAAAGGTCCATTAATTGAGATTGCTTATTTTGCAATGTAAAAAAGTTGGACTTACCAAATACGTGCTGGAAACTCTTAAGAGATGCCTTCGTACAATAAAAAAAGTCTCCTTGCCAAAATTTGTCTAGACACTATCAAGCAAATACTAATTGTCTGAAAAAAAGGTTGCCGTATACATAGGTCATACCTGGAGACATTAATACTCTGATTATTTCAGGGCTTAACCAGAGCTTAAAAAATCTCAACTCAGTGATTGGACCCTCCACCGCCTTAATGCTTGGTGAAAGATCACCCTTCTTTTGTTCATACCTTTTCTCAAAACTTGATGTTTGGTTTAGTTTTCCAACAAAAAAAAAAAAAATTGATGATCATGCTCCTACTAATCATTTGGCGTTGATTACTTCATCTACTACTTAATTATCACCGATAATTCCCTTCAAGTTATGTAAGCACTGCAACCTCTGCCCATTGATGATTACTTGTGGCAATATGTATCTGATTTTGAGTATAGTATTAGCGTGTTCTATAGTGAATAGAAAATTTCATGTTCATTATACCAAAAGGGGCAAAAAAAAGAAGAAAATCATCTTCTTTAATTTTCGCTAGGCTTCTAGCTAAACAAGCTAGGCTAGATAATTCTGCTCCATTGCATTGCTTTTTTTTTTTTAATCTCTGACAGTTATTATTAAATGTCATTGTTGGACTCAAATCATCATCTTGTTAATATATTTTACTTTAAATAATGGCTCTAATTTGGCCCCAATATATTGAGATTGATCATCCATCTTTTGGCATACTACAATTCATATTTTCTACATTATTCAGTAAAATAAAAAATGAAGAGTTCTAGTTTGAGGTATGTCAAGTGGCCAAACTCCACAACGTTTTCCATCCCCTAAGCTGCTACTCAAAAATCTTAGTACCCTTTTCCATAATCTACATCGATGCAAAATGGTCACCAAACATCCCATGTTCCATGAAAAACTCCCTGCCCAATTTGGCACTACTATTAAACATATTTAGTCTAATAATGTGAAGGAATATTTTAATTAAGCATTATCTTCTTTTTTTACAAAAAATGCATCACGCTTATTCCTCTTTTCTTGACATCCCATAACAAAATGGCTCATAGAAAGAAAAAAATCGTTTTCTCTTTGAAACAGCTGGGACCCTAGTATTTGATAAGAATGGCCATTGTTTTATTGCGGGGAAGCCAACTAACAATCATATTCTTAATAAATTCCCCTTCCTATTGAATTTTAGTAAACAAAATACATGTAAAAACTCTCATCAAAATTTTTGTTGGTCTACAATACTTGGCGCTTCCACGACAAATTTTCTAGTGTTGCCTATGTCCATCAACGCCAACAAAACACTACACTTGATCCAAAAGCGATAAAATGCATCATTGTAAATTTTCTTTGATTTAAGCAGAGTTTGTGATGCCATATGATGATCCAATTATAAGATATTGGTGAGACATGTAATGCTTTATGGCTTAGAATGTTGGCTTTTAAAAGAGTTAAGTGTGGTTGAGATGAGAATGCTTAGGTGGATGTGTGGCTTGACACTTAGAGATAAAATGCAAAGTGAATCTATCCTTGAAAGGGTTGGTGTAGTTTTAGTTGCAGACAAGATTAGAGAGAGTCGTCATTGATGGTTTGGTCACATTAAATGCAACCATCTAATGATCCAGTTAGGAGAGTAAATGGTTTATATCAACTTATGCTAAGAAAGACAGAGGTTGACTTAAAAAGACTTTGCCATATTATATAAATAATGATCTTCATCTTTTAGAATTAAACGAAAGTATGACACTAAATAGGACACTATGGAGAAAAAAGATTCATATAGCCGACCCCACTCAGTTGGATAAAGGCTTATTGTTGTTGTTGTGCTGCCGTCCCGATTCAAAAAATTCACTTCTCGAGATATTACTATTGTGTAGGAAAAGCCTTGAAACGAAGAAAACTTTGATTTTCCTAAATTTGACCTCCCAACCTCCCAAATGACCCATAAAGTCTCTAATAACCCCATGACTTGCTAGTAGATTGTTCATAGAAGCAGCATCTCCAGGCAATAATTCAAATAAGATGCTACCTAATGAACATAAACCCTTACTATATGTATACTTATGAAGAAAGAATGAAGAGCTCAATTTGAAATTTGCATGCTCA